AAATTCAGTATTTAAATTGATTAGTTTATTGATACATATAATTTCTTATTCCATAAAAGATATAATTTACCTATAACTAAAGTGTAATATTATATGAAGTATTAAGTATTAAGTTTTTAAGTGTTTCTATTATCGATAATATTTATTAAAAATTAAAATGGAATTAATCTGATTGGTTTTGGGTTTATTAGTTTATTTGATTAAGAAATCAAGAATTTAGCAATTGTAGTCTTTTTAACCTACCTACCTTATTTTAAAAACTTTATTTTCGCTATTTGTACAACTATACCAAAAGGTACATTTTATGATGTTTCTTATCTTATCAAACTACTCGAATATACTTTAGATAATAGGTATAAATTAAAATGTTGTTTAATTTATACTTTGAATTATGTTTAGATAGTTTTTTTTATTTTATTATGTAGACACAACTAGGTAAATATATATTAAATAACACTATAATAAGTCAAGAATATTTTTCTTTTCAACGAGGCGAAAAATTGTCCAAGAACGAGTAGGTAGTAGGTACCCTATGTACCCTATGTTCTCAAATTTGGGTTTTCCAATATTGAAAGAGATATTCGGACAGATTAATAGAGAAAAACTATGAGTATTACAGTGTCTCCCCCCCCCAACAAAACCAATTTTGTCTAGTTGGTGCCTATGGTTGGATATAGGGACGTATCAGAGTTGTACTTGGACAATTTACAGAATACAATATTACGTTTATTTTATTAGGTTATTGTTTGTATTAAAGATTCACATAGAATAGAAAATAAGTTTCTTTAGACTTACCTAAATAAAAAAATGTATATTGCCATATTGGTATTATAGTCATATTTTTATTAATATTTAATGATACACGAAAAATTGTAAAAAGCTGTGCTTTTGACGCTATTTAGTATTTTGGGTGGATACTGATTTTTTCGAGGATGACTTAATATTTTATTTCTTAATAAAGTCCCTCATTTTCACAAAATTATTTACTTTTCTAATATTTTCGATTATTAAATTTATTTTAATGTGTATTTACCCATATTTATGTTGTAATAATAAAAACGTAAGTAAAATATGGGTATTTATTTTTATTTTTTTGGATATTATCAAACTATTATAACAAACTATTACTTTCGTTGTTACAATGATACTTGTTGAAGTCTAATATTTCAATGAACTTTACAATTTACCCAAAGTTTATCTACACTGGTTTCAATGAATAATATTGTAAAGAAAAATATAAATTAGTAAATAAAATGTAAGTATTATTATGGCGAAATTGGATTGTTTATTTTTGGATGTTTATTTTATTTGTCGAGTATAATTAAAAAGGTAAATTGATTATAGTAAAATAAAATGTTGTGAGAGTTAAATACAAATCATACAGTTTCTATTAGGTATATCGATTTTATCAGTTGCATCTTACCATAGTCCATGGATGCTTCATAGTTCTGCTAGTTATTTATAAAAATATATTCTATAATCTTTAGCCTATATACTATAGCCTTTAATTTACAAATAATAATAAATAAAAATTACTATAATATTTTTATTTATTTATCTACAAAACAACAGATTACATTTTATGTTTATAGTTTATACCTATACAGGCTACTCAAAAATTACAATTATTGTATATGTATATTGTATAATATGTACGATTGTACAAATATGTTGTTTATTATTTTAAGAGTATTTAGGACGCCGCACACTTCAGCGGTGACGGTAAAATTCTTTTGTGCCGCCGGGGTGGAGGTAAAATTATGTCCGGACTCAATTTGCCGTAATCGCTACTGCCACCGCCAACTGCAGGGCGGGGGACCTTTATATAATATTAGCTAAATACATAACTAAAACGTTTAGAAAAAATATTCGAACCCAGTTTTCATATGAAACTGAAATTCATTTTATTGTAAAATCAATTTACTTGACATTTTGCAAATACAAGTCGATCTCTTTTATGTAGAGATGAGATCGAGTAGTGCTCCTTTCTCTTTTTCCACAAAAGGAAAACATTTCTTTAGCAGGTAGGTAGATAATATCTTAATATTTTATGATTTCAGCAGTTTATTTTACTATGTTTTAAACTATAGTATAGGTAATAATACTAAACAGTACAATTTATTATTGATTAACTCTATACAATATTAATTATAGTAAAGATGATTTAAGTTGTGCCTAATATTGGTTTAGCGTTTATAATATTACGTACGACTGTGCATATTTCGACTCTTGATTTTGTATACGATTATTGATTATTCGATAACGAATAAACTAGGACACTAGGTGGTCAAATATTTATTTTTTAAACAGCGAGTTGTATTTATATAAAATAAAATAACATAATTTATTAATTTCAATTTTTTATAATTTATTGTCTTCAAGATATAAAAATAATATAAATATAATAACATGCAGGTACACAAATTATACATGGTGACACGGTGCTAGACAGTGCATTTCACTGTTAGGTACCTATATCAGTGTATGTGACAATATAGGTTTTCGAATAATACTGACTACTAACACGCACTTGTAAGTACTAAAGTTTAGCTTGAATGTATTAATTTTTTTATACATTTAATGCATATCATGTAATTAAACCCTTTTAATGGCTTTCTGATTTAGTGATTTCCAATAAATTGTAGATAGGCTAGGTAGATAGGTATATTATATTATGTAATTACTAAGTAATAATCAATAACAATCGATACAAAAACATGGCTTTTTTGAAAAAAATATAAAAGTATATTATTTCTTTGTTCATAATTTTTTACAATATTATAATTTATATTAGTCACATGAATAGTTTTATTACAAAAAAAAATTTTTTGGTACAAATATAATACTATGAAAATTTAATTCTCAAACTTGGTTGAAGGAATTGTATCGTACTATTTAATTTCTATTTTTTTTTTATCTTTTTTGATTATTAATTATTTTTTAATAAATTTGTGGTTTGTATAGAATAATATAATTATTTTATTATTTTGTGCGAAGCTCGTGATCATTTGTGGCTTCAATAAATTAAAATGTATCTATAGTAGAGTAAATATCTGCATTATTAGATATCATAGACATTTTATGAACAAAACAATTTAATTTAAATTTATTTTTCAGAATCTCAAAAAGTGTAGAATATATAATTAATACCATCACAATAATAGAACAAATATTTTTTATTTAAATTTGTTTATTATTTCGTGATGTATACCCCACTCAATTTGTATTGATTAACTTTGAAACACACTTACAAAAATAATAAGTATAATGTAGGTTGACCTAGCTTTTTCGTGCAAACGAGACATCGTCTTTCAACAATGAACTTGAAAATAATAGTAAATGACGTTCGTATAACTGATATTTCTTTTACACAAAATGTTTTGATTCTAAATTTAGTAAATTGTTTTATCGATTAATGTATGGTTTAAATTAGCAAATAATTAATCCATTTAATATGTAATATAACTATTATTTTTTATTTTTTTTTTTTATTGATCTGAACTATACATCGACAACTAGGCCATTAGTACACGAATTTTAGATTACATTGTTAGTATTTTAGCATTTACATGGTTACATTAAATTAAATTGTACAATTCTGTTTTTTTAAGAATAAAATTAAGTTTTTAACGTCTTGAGAGTTTGGTCCTAGTGCTTGACAAATTTGTTCTGAGATGTGGTATTGATTTCGATACTTGTTGTATTTTTGACATTCTGTGATGATGTGGTTGACCGTTAAAAGTACATTGCACGCGTCGCATAGTGGAGGATCGTCTTTGGTCATCAAATAGCTGTGTGTTAGGTGTGTGTGTCCAATTCGTAGACGGTTTATTATGGTTTCTTCTTTTCTACTGAGTTCAGGATTTATCCATGGGTTTATATTGTTTTTTATTTTATTGAGTTTGGTGTTGAGTTTTCGCCAGTGGGAATGCCATTTGTTGTTTGTGTGAAGTTTAATTTCGTTTTTTGCATCTGCGAATGTGATGGACTTTATGGTTGCAGTTAATAACTATTATTAATATGTGTATTAGTTATATAAGTACTATATAATTATAGTTTACACTGAAAGTATAAAACTATTTTTTCCGTTGCCTAAAATATTTTGAATAAAAAATTTACTTTAATCCACGAAAAAGTTCCCTTTTTAATTATTTAATATAGATATTTGTTTCTTAAATACTATTTAATAATTTAATAATGCAAAGTTTTAAGGTTCTTTACTATAGTAATCAAATAGTCTAACATTATCTTCGTTAAAAAATAATAGTTCTTGAACTTATAGGTAATTTGAACTAAATTGTAGGTTATTGATCTTGTTGAATTTCTTAATATAAATTTATTTGTATTGATTAAAATAAACCCAAACGTTAAACATATTGCATGTCTAGTCCTTTCGTGTTTCTAAGTTTTAAGAAATAAAAATTGTAACTTTAGTAAGTACATAGTATACATTATTATAATTTATAAGGTCATTCATTTAATGTCTTATTAATATAATTTGTCATTATTGTAATAATACCTATTTTAACCACTAGTATATAACTTTCATTGAAACTAATACATTTACATTACTTGTTTAATATTAAATGTAAAACGTTAAAATTCAATCATCGAGTATTTATGATATCTTGATTTATATTATAGTTAGGTATGTATAGTAAAAGAATAAAAATACGCTTTTTCAATCACATATTTTAAACAATTCAAAGTCTAACATTTTAGATATAAACAATACATTTATATGCATTAAAATGTAGGACTAGGCAAAAATTGAGCCTTATCTATGTTTTCAAATGAAATAATTAAGCGATATCAATTTTCAATTCGTATTTGTATATTTGTATATTTACATATTATTATTTGTCTTATATTTGTATTGATAATAACAATTTATACATTTAAACATACTATATTCATTTTGTTAATATCATAATTTGTAAATAAAAATAATTATTTGATATTTTTAGGACTAAAGTGATCGATTTTTTAAACTCTAAAAGTTGGTATAACTTTTGAAAATGAAGAGAAAGAAGAGTCAGCCAACGTGGAGACTGGATTGGTCATTAAACAAAACCGTAAGTATTTTTAGTGGTTAATACGATACGCCTTATATAAGTTGTGTTGACAAATTTTTATTTTATATAGGGTCGATGAACTGTTCAAGAATATTAAATCTCATGGTTTTATTTGGATTTATGGTCAATTATATGCTACGAGTAAACTTTACAATTGCCATCGTAGACATGGTACCTAACCATAAGCAGAACGTCTCGATAGAACAAGCCGCTAATTTTTCAACTTCACCTTTAAATGATACCAATGTAAGTACATCTAATATTATTTGTTCGGGCCCTCGGGGTATATAAATTATACTGATCAATGTACAACATGTAGATTGTAGGTTTAGTCTATATTACCGATAAGTGATGTAACTAATTTCGTGTTTATTATTTCATATTGAAGCATTTTAATTTTTAAACAATACTACTTTGAAATTTCGGTTATTACGAAAAACGCTGCCCTTGAATTTAATTTCACTACTTTATGACAACACTTTGTTGGTCAGTTATTTTACATCATTGGCACGAAATCTGAAAGTTTTTGGATGCGCCCCAAAGCAAAAACATTGGTTTTTCTATGACGTTATTATTAAAATCTGGTTCTATTTTTGTTGTCTCTGTGAAAACATTTCTCAGAAAATTTAATTAAATTTCTAACATAATATGTTGTTTAGAAAATAATATATCGATTATCTATTAGAACAATTTGCCTAGAACGCTGACCATTTTAGTGCAATATTTCTATAACCTTAATAAACTCCGAAAATCATATTTCATAAATTATACTATAAGTTATAGATTTTATTTTAAATCTATAATTTATATACTATGACAATAGGTCAATAGCATAAACCATTGGAAAATAAATTCAGTAGGTAAGTGAGTAATAATAGTAATCAATAATCATATAACCTCAACCAAAAGCTCTCGATTAAAGGCGTGTATAGAACGTTCAGTGAACAAATCAATAATATGGAATATTATTGTAATTACTTACTAAATTAAACTATACAATATATAAGTGAAAAATACTACAATAACACTAATATAAATGTAACATTTTTTTAATTAATAATCACACTGCAGATTGCCTAGTGATTTTTTTAGACAACTATTTAAAGTTTTTGATTCTATAAAATGTAATTTAAAAACAATTTAAACATATTGAATGAAAAATAGGTACCTACTAAAACAAACCTTTTATAATTGGTAATGACTAATGAGTAATATCCAGAAATGAATGTATTCATTTTTAAGAATTTTACTATTTTTATGAACTTTGTAGAAACAACCTAATTTGTAAAAGTACACCGTAATAATTTTCATCATGTTTACCAGAAAGTAGTTAATAAAATAATGAAACGCAGGAAAGATATGTAAACTAGTGATGGTAAATATTTTAGTATACACCATTATATATACCATTCATTTAAATATATAGGACTAATGTGTTAAGCTTATTGTTAATTTTTATTGGGCTTATAATTGTTTCCAAATTATTGAGATAAAAAATCTCGTAGGTGCTAAAATTATCCAACATTCAATAATTCATGGAAGGCAAAACTGTCGATGAATTCCGAAACGTTCTTTAAATTTGATATCATTTGGGTACGAGATGGACACGGGAGCACCCCCCCTCCACCTCATAGTTTAGACTTTAGTTTACTTAATTGAGCTGTACACGAGATATTTTAAAATTGAATATATTTTATTAGTTATTAGTTATTACCTATACATATTGTAATGACTTCTATAAATAAATCCTAATACTAGGATTGTTCTTTGGGTTTGGGTAATCAGTAGGTAATAGGTATTGGTATGTATTAGATTCGTCATTGAATTTGGTAAACTAAATATTCATCATAATCAGTATAGTTACTTATAGGACTCATAGGTAGTGTATTTGGAAAATAAATTACGAATGTTTACAATGATTTTTCGAATAACATTAAATTAACAACTATTATTAAACGATTATAGAATATGGTATTGTAAATTATTAGAATATCAGATTGCGTCAAGGATGAAAGTGTAACAATAGAGAAAATTTCCTTTGCACTTTGCAGTGATGTAATTTATAATACATTTTTCGGACTAACTACACAGCGTTCAAGGAAAGACTAATTAAAATGGATAGACCTTTGAAACTTACCAGTAAAATTCTATATGATATCATATAACTATATAATTTTAATCTCTTTGCGTAATACACATCAATATCCTTATAAAAGGTAGCGTTTCGCCTTCTTTTATTAAAATGGTGACTTAATACTTGTACTCATCAGAATTTACTGACATAAAGCTGTAATAATATTCATTTTTTTTTACTTCGCAACGTTAAAAATGTGATCAAATAACTTCAGCATTTTGGAGTTCTACATTTAGTTTCAATTTAGATTAAAATATTCAAAATCAAACCAAAATAATAAAAATAGGTGACAACGGAAGTGACTATATATTATTATATCTGTACTTATAGACTATATTATATTGTATTGTTAGTTGTTACAATAAAGGTGGTTACTATAAGTATAAAACAACCAAACTATAACTATGTATGATTGTGTAAAATATAGTACCTATTAATATAAAATATTACGTCTTAGTAATTTGGAGAATGTTTTGAAGGTAAATCAAAAAGTTGGTACACATTGTGATCAAAGTACGACTTGGTTCATAAATAATTAGGTAGGTATGTTAAAAATATAAATTAATATTTATATAGATTTTAAACTGCTTGGTATAAATGATTTATTGTAAATAATAAATATATCATTTATAATATGTTATTCGATTATTTTTCTTCGTGCGAATATTTTTAAATAAAATAAATATATCAAACATATTATTATATAGGAAAAAAAAATTAATTTTAATAATTTGATTAACTATTTTAATCCACAGTATTAGACTAAAATATATCTCATTCAAATTGAATGGAGCACTTATTTTTTATAATAATACAATTTTTTAATAACTATAGATACCTAATGTATTATAATCTTTAGAATATAAAGATCAGTAGGTAGTCATTTATATAATTTGAATGCCGCGAAAATTTAATCCAGTTACACTTATTTATAGAAAATCGAGGAAATCGTTATGCTGTACAAAATATTTACAATGTACCTACAGTGTACACTGTACATAGTGGGCTTATGTATACCTCGTCATTTAGTTACATCGTAATTGTTGAAGGGGTAGGGGAAATGCGTGGAAAAAATTTATATTAAAGCCTTTAAATAGTAAAAATACGACAGAATAAAATTAAAAGTCTACCTTATTAAATCATAATCACTGATCACATTATATCTACTGAATAATTCGCGTTTTTAACAAATGGTGTCAACATTTGAAATACAAATGATCGTAAAAAAATGGTGACGATTTATTTCTGTAGTTATTTTTGAATTGCTGTAAGCAAAAATTCTGAGGAACCTTGTTTTGAACTATGAAGATTTTTATTCACAAAAAAACATTTTGTATAACATAATAATGATTAATGAGCCAAATATTCCCTAAACAAAGAAGAAAATTCCAAAATGAGCAAACATTTTTAAAAGATATTATCATGTCTTGAAAATGTTAATATAAATATTCGACTAGTATATTTATTTATATTTTTTTTGACAACTATTTAAAGTTTTTGACTCTATAAAATTTAGTTTAAAAACAATTAAAACATATTGAATTAAAAGTGGTTACCTACTATTTTTATAAATAAATAATAAAAACACATCGCATCATTGTAAAACCAATATATCGCTCCGCTCAAAATCTAAAACACATTCCTTACATTAGAATATTTAAGGTATTAGGTATAAATATAAAAATTTTATAATTTATGTATTTTGAATGAATTGATTGATGGAAACAATCTGAATAATCGATGTTTTCTTAAATTGATTTCCTTTTGTGTTCCATTGAGTAACTAGAAAATGATTCAAATTTTAGTATTGGTGTATATTAGTTATATCCATAATCAATATAGGTATATGATGTCATATTAATTAATTGCATATAATAAAATAATCGTAATACGTCAATGATGTTTAATAATATAGGATAGAATCTAATCATTAGGTGATGATCATCATCCATGCATTTGAACAATAATTGTACTTTTATGAATTATCTCCGACGACACTTTGCAATGATAAGTAGGTAGTTTATTTTAAATATCCAAATTTATAGTCTTTATATAGGGTACCTACTTATAAATGATAAAATATAAAATTAGCTGCAATTTGAATTTTCTGATTTATGAATGTTTAACTGTTTATATTGAATAATTAATATAATTATTGACGCCTAATATAAATTTATTATGTTATCTAATTACTAGGTTAAGAGCCCCGAGGTAGTGAAAATATAGCTTATAATTTATCAATAATAATTTAGGGCATCAGATCACGATATAGATTATGTTATTTAATAACCATATAATACCTATAACAGATTTTCTCAGATTTTTTTCGATTGTAATATTATGACGACCTTCGATGTTTTGATATCGGTATAAACTACATCTGTAGACTACAATTTTTTTTATAATAATTATGTTACCTAGTACATTAATTATTTATTACCTAATGATAAACAATATTATGTTGGGATAGGTATTCGTATTCGTATTCTATATAGACTTAAACATTACAGTACTAATATTATACTAATAGGCGATGAAACTAATTTTGTATATTTTATGTTACATTTTTCTACCTTGAACTATTATAATGATACACAAGCATTTTAAAATTGTATACAAACCCTGAAATATTTGTTTTATAATTTCATAAATACATTTTTGTAAATATGGAAATACATGTTTCTATAGAGTACTCTCGTTCGTGCCATTTTACTGATACAATTTTATTACTTTACTACTTATAGATTTATACTTAAAAGTCTTTAAATATTCAAATCATCATACAAAAAAAAATAAATTATGTAATTTAGAGCAATGATTACAAAATTTAAGAAACAATTACAATAATTTAACGTTTTCTCTGTATTATATTTTCATCTTACATGTTTTATTTACAATGTGTTCATTAGTTTTGTTACTGTAAGACGTAAGTATAATGAATAGTTATAATTTATGTGTATATCATGTTTTGCATTAATAAGAATTTAAACATTTATAAAAGTACCAGGTAAATTATTTGTTATTGTACATTTATTAAGTTCCAATTATTTAAATTTTGAAATTATAGTAGAATACAACTGTAAACAATTGCATAAAAATGAAGTAGGTACTATTCACTTCTATATTCGTATTCGCATTTTATTTTTCAGTTAAAATTGAAATAATACGTTACTCGTAATTAATACTATTTAAAGTTATTTTTGTGACCGTAAAGCAATTAAAATTAATTTTTAACTTACCAATTAGTCTTTAAACTTCTTATTATAAATAAATACTATAGAATAGGACATAATAGGACAGAATAGGTACATAATTTATAATTTGTCACGTTCCATTCATTTCGTGTTTTTTTGTAATACTATAACAAGTATAACAGCATCCATTTTTACGAAACTTAGAGTGACTTTTTTTTTATTGCACTTTATAATATCTTAAGTGGAATTTAAAAACCAGATTTCTTAGTCCGATTAGTGCAAATATATATGCTATAAATTATCATAAAACCTGATACCAAGAGTATATGTAGGTATGTGAATTGTATAATATATTTTAAGGATCAGGTTTTGTTTAAAAAAAAAAAAATAAATACCGTTACGTTTCATTTATTTAAAGGTATGCTTGATTTTCTAAATTATTTGTAAAAATGTGCGTATTGCCTACTTTTATATATGTATTACAATTATATAACTACACAGGTGTGTATGTATATTTCATAAATAACTGCAATATGATAAACTTATATTATTGTAATTGTAAATTATGGATTCAAATGTGTCAATACATATATTATATACCTAAGTAAATCATATTTTAAAATACCGTTGTGCTTATCCACCCGTCTTGACATATTGACATGCGTTGCCCCGGTTACCAGTATCATTGTCGATATTCTAAAAATATTTTTACATTGGCTGCACATTTGTTATTTATGTATTTTTTTTATTATTCAATAGGGTTTTGTATAAAAACATATGACACTTTGATAATATATTATAAGCAAACAAGGAAAAGAAAACGATATTAGTGTGCTAATTTCGTATAGGTAGGTACTTTAACCAAAATAATAATATTATTTTTTATTTATAAAATTTGTCACAGTTGTAATAAAGTTTCAATAGGTTTGGAAATAAATAAATAGAAGAAAATTAAAATGTTTAATCATAATTTAATACATGCGTTCCATAGTGCTCACTTGTTTTTATCACTTTTTGTTCAAATGTGTACACCATTTTATTAATGTCAATTTGAATAAGTTACATTTGATTAAGTAGGTATAGTATAAGAAATTATCAGTTATATTTTATACTGAACTTATAAATTACTTATAGAAAACAGGAGACATGCATTTTTAATAGGTATACATACTATTACTACTCATATAATGTAATATTGAAAAATTATAATGAGAAAAAAAATATTATAAGTAATTTATTATTTTTGGGTGCATTTATAGTAATTTATAGGGATCAATAAATTGTTTAAATTTTATAAATTAAATATTAAAAATTAATTTATAAATGTTTCAAGTAAAATCAATCACAAATAATAAATATAGCTGTGTATATACTAATACATAAATATTAGTATACACTTAAAACAAATTATGACTTTATACTTAAAATTTGGTATTATTAAATTAATTACTTTACTAGGTATTTAAGCTAAACCATACAATAAATGTGAAGTACCTATAATATTTTTTCAGATATTACGAGCTTGGTTTATTTATACTAAAATAAATATTACCTATTGAAATGAGGTAAATAATAATTATTAGTAATTAGTATAGTGTTAAGTAAGTATAGTAAAAGGGACGTAATGGGGTGTGGAATAAAGCCCCGGCCCTCACGAGTTTATATAATAATTACTGATAATTATTGGAAAGTGATTTTAGAATGTAAACAATTTAAATAAACTAGGTATTAGATATATTAAGGGAATATATATTTTTTTATTTTAATATTTATTTTCCAATAAGTAATTGATGTTTTTTATTTTTCAGGCCACTGTGAGTTGGACACAATCTAATCCACCTGGTGTTGTGAAGTTTAATTGGTCCGAGTATGAACAGAATATGATATTAGGCAGTTTCTTTTGGGGCTATGTTCTTACGGAATTGCCAGGTGGTCGTTTGGCCGAAATGATTGGAGCTCGACCGGTATTCGGCTACTCTATGCTGCTAGCGTCAATGGTTACCTTATTAACACCTATGGCTGCAAAAATTAGTATATATTGCCTTATGTTTTGTCGAGTGTTTTTAGGATTTACTTTAGTGAGTATTTTTTAGTATATTTAATACCATAAAATGTTTTTAAATTAGAATGACTCATTGTTATTATTAATGTGTGCATATTACTATATTAGGTATACGAAATATATTGTTCTGATTGTAGGTATTCTGTGCAGTGTGCATATTACACATAACAAACAATTTATTTGAATGCCAAACATATTCAAATAATTAATTAAAAATCTATAATATAAACTTGTTAATAGTAGATATTATTATCAAAAACAAACAAAACTAAAAATAGTTGATATTATCTAATAGATGCATCTATACACAGGGTGTATCTTATTTCATTGTATGCGCAGTTTTTTAACGATTATGGATCGATGACATAGAATTTCGTTAAAATGAAAAAAGACGTGTTTCTTTATTTTTAACAGGCAATTTTTTTATAATAATCTCAATATTTTTAAAAATGCAGGTGTACCAATAGCAAAATCAACTTTATTTTTTCAAATGGTAACTACTATATTTTTTAATGGATTCTGGTAAAGCTTTTTTTTCTGAAAATGTTGATACTAAAATACTCAAATCATTAATTTTGGTTCTCTAGTTCATTATTTTTATTTTAACATACAATCATCAAAAACAGTATTATTATTTTAATTTGTTATTATAGGTAATCGTAGTTAATTACTTCACAGTTACTTTTCTTTCAATATCATATTTTGGATTCTTTATTAGGTGGCTAAGGTAATACCTTATGTATTTGTTTCTTGTTATAATAATATTTCCCTATATTGGTATTTATCGCATGCAAAGTATGAATTTAGGGGTTGAAATTCATAACCCTTCATATTTTTTAATTTTTTAATTTTGAACATTTACATTTTATTTCGTACTTTTCCTATCATAAATTCCTATTATACTTCCTTACAATATCATTAATTTGGATTCTTTATTAGGTGGCTAAGGTAATACCTTATGTATTTGTTTCTTGTTATAATAATATTGAAAATCTGTAATTAACTCAGATTAAAAGTATGACTAAGTTAGGTACAAACCTATATTGAGATTGACTATTTATTTAAATATCTTGCAATTAGTTTATTTTAAATTACGATTATTAAATAATTCTTAAAGAATTTCAACTGCTAAATTCATACTTTGCATGCAATACCTACCAATATAGGGAACTTATGGTTCAAAATTCAAGTTATAAAAGTTAGTTAGAAGAAAAAATTATTTAGCTCTTGTAAATTAAACCTATATCAATTATTTCAATTAAAAATATTAATGCATATTTTACTAAACTTTAGAAGACAATAGTTAATAAACTAGAGAACCAAAATTGATGATTTGACTATCAAAATTTTCAGAAAAAAAGGTCTACCAGAATCCATTAAAAATATAGTAGTTACTGTTTGAAAAAATAAAGTGGATTTTGCTATTGGTACACCGGCATGTTTAAAAATGTTGAGACTGTTATAAACAATTGCCTGTCAAAAATAAAGAAACACTTCTTTTTTCTTTTTAACGAAATTCTATGTCATCGATCCATAATCGTTAAAAGCCCCCACGTACAATGACATAAGATACACCCTGTATACATTATTTTCTATACGAATTAAAAAAGTTTGTATGGGGCTTATTATAGACTTTGATACTAATGAACCAATTGGCACCAATGGGCATTAATTTTTGCATACATATTCCTTGAGACTCAGGTAGTGTTATTAGCTTTGAGTGCTATAGAGTGGCTCACAAATTAATTTCGTTTTGTCTAACGAAAATCGAATAATTTTTTTATATATATAAGGATTGCCATTAGTTACCAAAATAGCCACACTCCATGCGTTTCTATCGATTTTTTTCAAATAAAATAAAATAATATTTAATTATTTATTTGTTATTCAAATGTAAAAGAAAACGCAATGTCCCTATGTTTGTTGACTCAAAAACTAGTCAACCAATTTAAACAAAAGTTTCAGAGATTGTTTTTAGAAATATTAGAACAATTTAGAGAGTAGTTTGAACCGTGTTAGAAAATATTCAAAGTGCAATATATGTATACACCAACATGGTGCAGTATTTTATGTTTGTCTTTTTTTTCCATGGTGAAGTTAGATTATATAGCTAGGTTTTTATAAAATGCAAGTTAGTTTAATGTTCTTTATATTTGGTCATGTCGTATAATATATTTTAGAAAACTATAGGTAATTGATTTTTTTTTTCAAATGTCTTTTTACATTATAATTAATAGAGCTATTTTTAAAATGTAACTGGTGGATTTAAAATATTTCACTTAATTTCTTTTGTCTTTTAAATTTTATATATGTTAAATTCAACTTGTTTTTCATATTTCAGGGAGTAACATGGCCGGCTATATTACCACTTGCTGCCAATTGGATTCCACCAAATGAACGTAGCAAGTTCATGTCCAACATGATGGGTATTATGGCATTTTACTTTAAATTTTATGGCTTTTAAATTATGTATACTATTTTTAAAACTTTTTTATTGATGATTATTTATTATTTATACCTCTTCATTTTTGGCTATACAACAAAATTACTTATATAGTGGCAATTCTTATAATATGCTCCTTATTGTTACGTATATGAAAAGGAACAAAGTTTATTAATTTATTTAACTGCTATAAAAAAATTGAGTTCTTGACGATTAATTATAAAGCACTCAGTATAGTATGTAGAAAAATTTAGCTTAATATGCTGACACTAAAATTAATTTGCCAATTACTCTGTCTCGTATCTTGATTAATTCAAATCGTTATAAAACTATTATTATTGTCGTGGGAAGAATTTTAATTTGTTATCCATTTAACCTAAAAATATAATTGTGAAATATAAATAACACTTAGTACTTATAACAATTATTTAAAAAATAAATTGGCGGTGAATTAGCGATTATTAATCATTATACCTATGTTAAGGTAATAGGTAATAGTAAGTTATGGATATTAAGAAAATATCGTAGTATGAAAAATGAAATATTTCAATTATTCGGTAATTGATAAAAAAAAGTTATGTATAGTGTAATTATAGAATTTAATTTAAGATTTTATATCTAACTATTTGATATAAATTAGATTTTTAGTCAATTTATTAAATTTGATTAAAAATCACACCACAGTACATAAAGACTACCTTATAATTTTATTATCATCAATGTTGATACATTTTCTATGTATATCAAGGCTTAAAAGTGTTAATGAAACAGTGTAAAATAATATTATACAATTGATATTTCTTTTTTAAATTTATTCAAAACTATATCGATTAAGCTATATATTTTATTGTTTCTAAAAATTGTCTTATTTGCAATTGTATTGGAATTTTCAGCTTCTACTTTAGGTGCAGCTATTACATTACCAATTTGTGGTATACTAATCTCTGCATGGGGATGGGAATCGGCATTCTATATCACGGGATTAGTAGGTCTTGCATGGTCCACCTTGTGGTTTAATTTAGTTTTTGAGACACCTGCCGATCATCCTAGAATTAGCGAATACGAAAGACATTATATTGAAACAGAAATCGCCAAGCAAAGCAAACCTGGTACAAAGGTAATAATGAGCCACAATTAATATATTTTGTTCTATATAGTATAATATGCAACAACATAAAATCAACAATTTATCACGTTGATAAATATTAAGTATTTAGAAAAAAAATGCGTTTTAATATATTATGATAACTGATTACAATATAATATAATGATACAACGATTTTTATATGATATTGATACCTACAGTTAGATTTACATACCAAGCTCATATATTATATTATTTTTATGATTAGTAAATTTTATTTTGTAGACCACAGAGTACTTGAAATTTGAATAACACAGATTATACTTGTGTTATAAAATTTACTAGAACGGATAAGAATAATATTATTTTATATAACATGCTCACTCAAATTTTGATTAAATCCACTTAAAGAACGTTTAAATTACAACAATTGTAACTTAAAAGATTTTATTGATTTTTTTGTATTTGTATTTTTATTTACAGCCAAAAAAACTGCCATGGATACAAATACTTACGTCATTTCCTGTATGGGCCATAGTTATTACACACGGAGCTAGTGTCTTTGGTTATTTTACTATTGTCAATCAGTTACCTACTTACATGAAGTATTTACTTCATTTTGACATTAAATCGGTATATATTTACTTATACGATATATATATATACTGATAAAGTATAAATATGATATTTTATTCTTCATGTTTATTTTTAACTTGTGATATTATTAAACTATAGAATAGAATAATACATTTATCGTTATCAAAATTTCAGAATGGTTTTCTATCTAGTCTCCCTTATTTGGGTAAATATTTTATGGCGTTGTTCGCTGGAATAATTGCTGATCGTCTTCTAAATTCTGAAAAAATTTCCAAAACAATGACTAGAAAAATCTTCACTTTTATCGGTAATTTAAAATTTTTACTTAAATAATTTTACTCTAGTATCCTGTATACATTTTTACGTAACTTTATCGTGTTTTTGAGTCCAAGTAAAAAAAAAAAAAACAACATTTTAATTTACAGGAGTATTTACGCCTGGCATTTTGATGATCCTACAAGTGTACTTTGGAGATAACCAAGTGTGGTCGGTAATGATATTCACTATTGCATTGACGTTGAACGGAGCAGTGACCGGTGGTTATCTGGGAAACGGTTTGGACATAGCTCCAAATTTCTCTGGTACATTATAATAACTACTAACGGCTTGTAAAATGATTACTATGTAACTACATGAATGTGATATTCCACTTTATTTCAGGCACAATATTTGGAATGGCAAATACACTGTCTTCGTTCGGAGGGTCCTTGTCGTCGTACTTGGTGGGAAAACTAACGAATAACAATGTTAGTATACATGCGCATTAAACACACTGAATTACGATTTAACACTTCAATACCTGTCAATATAATAATATAGAGAATATAATTTTACATATACTTGCAGCAAACATTTGAGCAATGGTGCATTGTATTTTGGATTTTGGCTGGGACTTACATGTGTGGCGCTATAGTATTTTTAATATTCGGAACGGCAAAAACGTTATCGTGGAATTCGGGACCCAGCTCAGACGAAACAAATGGTATTTCAACGAACGAATTGGAAGCGATGAAACCGTTGAAAAATTCTACAAGTTCTTAATGATTTAACGAATATCGAGTCTTTGGAGCAAAGATAAACATAATATTTAACGACCACTGTGAATTAAATGTAAATATTTTATGATTTTTCTTTTTAAACATTGTATATACGTTGAAGTTAGTATTTATTTATTTAAATCTTAATATCTAACACTTGATATAAAGTGAACTATTATAAAATTATACACGTTGACGAACATCATGAAAAGAGACTAATATATAAATCATTTTTTTTTTTAAAATATTTTGTATAATATACTGTGCTGATTGCTGACCCTATTTATTTATTTATTTATTACTATATCTGATATATGTATAATGTATATCTGTAATAATGGAGAATAGATTATGGGCAAGGCTTATGAATTTAATATTTAATTTGTACGCATCCAACAAAACAATTATGAATAAATAATAACTAGATAAAAGTTCCGGTCAGAATCATTTTTGAAATTGTGATGCTTGTCGAGAGCATAGGTAACCCGGTGTCTTCTTTTTGTATTCAGTTGGGCTTTTAATTGCTGTGTTTCAAAAATCATTATTTATTGAGTGCTTGATAAAATATACATGCATATTTAAAACATGTATAAATTAATTATAAAATTGTCAACCTATAAATTACTTATATAGCAGGGATGGTAAAACTTTTACTAAGTCACTGTTACTGCAAACTATTAGTTTTAAACATACTTGTAAATAATATTAAAATTATGTAAAGTTATATAAAACTACAGAGTGTTTCACATGAAATTTCAAAATAAATACACATCGTCCTACTGTTGGCGTCGAAATTCGTCATTACATATCGTTGGTAAGTTGATTAGGAATAGTCCACGACTGCTGAACGAAGACGCTGCTCAGAAAGTTTAGCTCTGTATTCAGCTTTTATAATTTTCGTGTGAGAAATAAATTCCATTCCACACGAACAGGTTAATCCGAAATAATATACATGTAAGATGTAACTGTGTCTACTAATTATTATCCCCCCGATCGACTTGAAAACGTCCAAGATCGACTAGCCGATCGCTGTCCACCGTTTGGCTGCCTTTGCTATATCGTATACCGATATCTATGATGATCGTATGTTCGGATATTATCTAAATATGTACCTAACCTATGTTAAGTTGATTTACTAGTTAGTAGTTTTCACATTTCAGTGATTTATTATTTTGTCGTTATCATATTGTCTACCTAATATATAATTAGGTATCCATAAGTAAGTACCTTACGATCAAAATTTAATTATTTAAGCTAAAATAATAAACCACTTTTTTCCATGTTTTACGTTTGTAAGATGGAGACAACAATTAATGCCCTTGTGGCGTTCTCTTAATCAGTTATAATAATTGTTGGAGAGCCTAATATTGGTACCTAATATTGTTTTCTGAACTCAATGATTCAAATCGAAAAAAAACTCACTTTAAATATTAGTAAATGACGTTTGAATTTGTGTACTAGATACTTACATGATGTACTTTATATTTGTATTTAAGGTTGGTGTATTTATTTTTACAGGACGGTAATTTGTTCCTAGTTTGGTTTGTGTTATAAGTTATGCACTATGCAGGTACACCGGACTTGTCTTAATGATATAGTGTTTAGTACATTTTAATGTACTTATTTTTACAGACAACACAATAAAATAAATCGAGAAAATATTTATCGATTCAAACTTGAATAATAATTAAAATTATCACGATCATTTAAGCATGCAGGGAACTAAGGAGTTTGAATACAATATTACTTTTATATATTAAATATAATCATTATAATAATTAAAAACATTATAGCTATAAACTTTGTTACATTTTAAATTGTATTTTTTGCAATACATTCATTATGTATAAATGTCGAAGCTTGAAAATTAAATTTCTAATTTGTACAAAAAATTATTAAAGCTACCTTACTTTTATAATATTAGTAAAAATGGTTCCTTTTATAAAAGTTATATCATTACTACATATTATTATAGGAAGGCCTAGTATAATTTTTAGTAGATTTTTCTCCATTATTCGGTGTACTATTAATACTTATATTTATCTGGTCGTCACCGTATTCTACGTTATAGCTTAACAAAAAATCATTACAATAATTTACGATAATCTTAAATAAACTAAATAATTATCTATAATTTTTAATCGTCAACTCCAGACCATCAAAGCAAAACGAAGTAAATATAATTATATATGCAATATGCATGTATATAATCTTTTTGTTATAAATAAATGTTGTAACATTTTAAAGGTTTTTCTATTTCTAATCATTGCAATAAAGACAGATTAATATTGTTTGCTGGACGTATCGATAGTATTGTATAAGAAAAAAAAATGAAAATGAAATAATTATTATAATGTTATAATAATAATAATAATTTCCTATTTGTTTAAGTCACCGTGTAAACGGTTTTCGACAGTATGTTCTGGTTGAGGTTTTCCGACAAGGGCTCTTCGTCGATGGGGTTCGGGCCGGGGCCTAGGTCCGCTGTCGCCTTGTTGCCTTGAACCGCCTGCAGCCCGACCCTGATGCTCTCCAGCGCTTCACCCAGCCCGACTTTGATCTCCTTGAACTCCTGCGTGACTAGCGACAACCGTCCAAGCAGGTAGTTGAGGTTCTCGTCCACCTCGGTCATGCGGCCCGCGATCGCCGACACCTTTCCGTTCATGCCATCCACCGACGTGGCCGTGCTGTTGACGAACATGTCCGTTTGCTGCTGGAGCGTGGCCAGCGTGGAAGCCGAGTCGGTGAGCGTCTGGTACATGATTCCGATCTGCCTCCACACCTGGCTGATTTCCGTTTCGATCTTGACGCTCAGGTTGGCCATGCCCACGGACTGCGCGTCCAGCACTGTCTTCAAAACCCGTTCAAGGCCGGCGTTCACCGAGTCGTTCAGCTCCTTTGACCGGTCGTTGATCACCGCTGTCACTTCCATCAGTATCTGGTGGGTGCCGTACTCGATCCTCCTCTTCGTGTCCAGAACGTTGTCCGCCGTCTGCACCAGCACTTTCTCCACGTCCGACAGTGTCTTCACCTCGTTCGACATCAACCGGAAGCTGTTCTGCACTTCGTCGTGGAACGTGGTGGCCGACTCGGCCACTTCCGTCAGCTTGGCGTCCGACACCGCGCGCTTCCGCTCGCCGTCGTCCATCCGGTCCGACAAAGACTTGACCGCCTCCATGACCACGTGTCTGGTCTCTTGCACCAGCTGAGATGTGGCGTTCGCGGGCTCCGACACAGTTTCTTTGTTTTGGGAACTCTGGTCGATAATTTTGTTCAGCAGTTCAAAGATGACGTCGTTCGTCACGTTGGACTTGGGAGCCTGTTCCAGAGAATCAAATCGGGACTGTAACGCACTGATTTGTTCCGACATAGTAGTCAGCTTGTTGTCGAAGGCCTGGTACAGTTGGTTGGTGGACTTTTGTTCCTCTTTCAACATAGACTTGACCTCAGCCTCACCAGAAACGATAAGCTTGTCCAATTTCTCCAACATAAGATTCGTGCTGTCTCTATCGGCAGTCTGAAAATTAAATTGAAATTTGACATGACAAATCGATTTCAATTGCAATTTCAAAATGAATGACTATTTCTAACATGGAATATTTTTTCACTTAGGTTTTTTGTTAAAAAAACCGTGTCAACCCGAGATAAAGAACTTATAAGGCTATAAGGCTTATAATTTTCCAACGAGGCGCTCCTCGACGTAAAACAGTTTCTAAAATGTTCATTGTATTAAAAAAAAAGCCTTAAAATAATACAAATTAAATTCATAACGTTTTTGCTTTTTATTTCATCATACTTTTTATTTAATTTACTATCCGATTTACTCTATTCTCACTCACTTCCTAGTAACGAAGACCCGGATTTCGGAATTTATAGTTAGATATTAAATCGAATTGTAATCGTTTTATTTAAATTTTTTCCCGAAAAATATCACTAAGACATATTATAATTTATAATATTCTAAGCTCAACTGTTTTGTCGTAATCTTAAACGTTTAAAAATATCGACGTTATCGATGTGTAGAATAATCTCGACATCGATAGAGAATAATATTCTCCAATAGTGTGTAATTACTAATTGCTAATTTGTAAGTTTTTTCGTTGTATAAGTTTCTCACCTCTTCTGTTTCTGCTCTCGTCAATGCCCTCATACTCTCTTCCAATCTTTTGATGGCCGTCTCGAGTTCCTTGTCTTCTACGAACTGATCCCTCTGCTTGTTCACGATCGTCAACAGCATGTTTTGCATTTGATCACCCGATTGTTTCTCTCGCCGTTCGTGTCTCTCCAATTTGTCCACGTTATCGCGCAACGAGTGCGCGAATGAATAAATTGCCGTTCTGATGTCTTCGTGCCTATATATATTATTATAATATATTATTTATTTACAGACATATCGTTTGCAATTTACTTATTATCGGTGGTGAAAATACCAAGTGTTTTATGACACACAAAAATAATTATTTTCTATAGTTTTGTTAATAGTTAAATGTTAAAAATTATAATTTAAATTAATTATACCAAAAAAAAACGATTTCAGGGTTACGCGTTACATGGAAACAATGTGTATCTTTTATTATGTCTTTATAAGTTGTTGTATCGGTTAAAATCACTATTACGTCGGTAGTGTATGGTTTATACCAGCAATGTCATCATTTGGCCATTCCCCCGCTGTTATAATATATAATAATATTATATTTTTCGGGATTTCAACGAATGGAAAAATGTATGGAAAAATATGCTGAGAAATACACCAAAATGCACAATATACTCACGTGGCCTCTTGGGCTGCGAACGCTAATTGGAAATCGGCGACGGCCAGCAGCCACAGGTAAACAGTAAAAGTGACGGTTTTCGACCACATCGTGTCACTGTAATAATACAATATTATAGGTATTATCCTATTGGAGTTCCGATGACAATATTTCGGTACGGATTGCGAGCGACTAAAACGTTACGTTTTATCTCGGAATAAATGGGCTCGTTTCCATTGTCCCCCGGAACGAAGTACAAATAATATGATATATGTGTGTGAACGTTAAATGTTTATAAATCAATATTATTTGTACGCTGTGCGTGTGATAAGAGCCCACGATCCGTTTTGTTCCGTTTCAGAGCGGAAGCGTTGATGATAGTCGTGGCGACTGGGGACGTGCGATCGATAAATTGAAATACGACAAAATTATTCAGCCATCATAAGTGTAATAAGTAACCATATATTATATTATATTGGTTTATCGGAATGCTTGGTACGAAATCAAAATCGAAAATATTTGCAAACGTATTAATTGTTATAGTTTTGACGATTAATGCATTGTAAATAATATATAATATATATACACACACACGTATAACGCGTCACCATAGGCACAGATTGACTAAATTTTTTGGGGGGACTCAAGCCCCCCTCCCCATTGGCCATATTGCTTAGTACCACAGAATATAAAAATTAGTACTCCCCCAAAGCCACCCTCCCCTATTTGCGCCAATGCGCGTCACATTGTTGGTCTGGGGTCTATTATTATTTATATATTAACCCTATGAGGTCGGACTAGACTATATTCGTTTTGCTTAGTTTGTTTTCTAGAAAGTTTTTTTATTGCAGCTGTTACGTGAAATAGGTCAACACACAATGTGCGTGAATTATTTTATCCCTTGTCTCTAAGGTACGAGTGTGTTTAATAAAAACGAATAGCAGCCCTACCTCAAATAGGTGGTACCGAAAATGATTGATATTGGATTTAATATCTTATCCCCGGAAAACTTTGAAAATACGTCATTTTTTTTTTAATACGCTTACGTTTAATTTAAAAGTTCAATGTCCTGCAATGTTCATTTCCTACGAATGCATACTGCACAGTTGAATTATTGATTATAAAGTAAAAGTCTGATAATAAATTACTAGAATGACAAATATTATATTATTATTATACATATTCAAATTTTACGTTATCAGAATATTTTATATAAGTTATGTAACCTATGCCTAACCGATTCTATAAATTATTACGGAAAACAAAAAACTAATGGCCTTAGCCTATTGAAGTTTAGTGAGATCAATAGTAAAAAATAAAATATTTTTCTTAAAATGTTTGATGTTTCTAATAATTGCTATATTTTAAGACTTAAATATTATACTTACAGGTTTCTTGGAATGTCCACAAATGCTGAAAAATGTACCCATATGCAGTACACTAAAATAATTACATATAAACAATAGTTTTTTTTTTCATTTTTTCAAAAATAAGCCGTTTAATTTAGGATTCAATATTACTTACACAAAACCAACGTCCTCGTACATTACCGGTATAGTAAAATGTAAAATGCAATTGTTATGATACTTACGACAGTCGATTTCAGGAATTCATACTATTAATTGATAACTGAATTATTATACTATACCGATCGCTAACCCCGCTATATTACAAAACATGCACAGCATATGGTAAGGTAAATAATTAATATATTTACGTTTCTTCATGCTCATTTTTTAATAATAATATAGTAATAAAAGATTATTAAATGATTCGAATATTACTCGTATTTAAAAAGCCATTTATTCGGATACAAAGTTCGAGGTCAAACTACTAAGTTATATTAAAAAAATTAAAATAAAGTAAATATATGTAGGCTATACATTTATAAGCATTATAGCATTGGCATCTGAAAAATATTATAAAGGTACAATTTAACAAAAAAAATATAACCAACATCAATCACACAACAATTATAGGAGCAAACTTTTTTTATTCGGACATTTAACTTTTAAAATAACAGTGTATTGTTCGTTTTACCTTTAATAGTACCAATGTACGTTTGAATGTGAATAATATATTATAATAACATTTTATAAGTTACTGTTTTGAACAACATATTCGTGTTTTTCAACTAGGAAACTTAAATATGACCTAAAGAATAGTGTTGTACTAAAAAAACCTGGGTTTAAACGTAGTTCATTTATCGGATTGATAACTGTATCCTCCTTAGTCAAAGACTTAAAAAAAGTTTTTATTTTTTAGGTAGTATCAAAGCAATAAATACATGTTTGACGACACAAATTGTGAAAATTGTAAAAAAAAGACGTAAAGACAAGATTGCAAAAAAAATTAATACCTACATTTTGTAGAAATAAAGATAAAATGTTTCCAGAAAAGTGATAAAAATGGATGTGCAGTGAAAACTGTTTAAGGCGGAATCGCAAGGGACAAACGACCAACCAATTACAAAACAATCAATTCAGTTGACTTAGTCAAGTAATTATTGTAATAGAAACTGCGTATTATACATTTAATTAGTGTTTTATCGTTAGGTTGTAATGTATAAAATATATTATTCATGTTTTCGGCGCGTATACAGTACCTATGTTGGTATTGAATTTTAAACGTGCAAAAAGAAATATGGTTATTCTATAGAGTTAAACAAGACGTGTAAACTATATTTTAATAATCATATCGTATTAGATAAACTTCAAAGTTCAAAGCACAATATCAATATGATAGAACAAACTAAAAAAATCAGGCCAAATATTAGCATTTTTGTGGACGGATTTTTACGCAACCTTATTATTTAAATTATTTATATTTATTCATAATTCAACTTTATTATTTGACATACCTACATAATATTGTTGTGGATATTTTGCCAAATATTATTTGATTTAGGATTTGGCACATTGTTATTTTATCGTGGGTACAGAAACTCATTAAGTTCAATACAAATAAATATTGTTTATGAAAAAAATTACAATATCATAACATTCATAATATGATCATAGTATATAATACTACAATGGAAAAGGATCATTTATTCATTTCTATCGGTTGGATGTATTCAATATCTAAACACGCGTAAAGCTGATTGTAAATATTTCATGTTCAATAATATATACATTATGTGTATTAGGAAATTATATCATTAATAATGAGCTTGGAGTAGGAATGTTGTAGCCCAGGGGTCTCCAAACTACGGCCCGTAAACAAGTTTTAACCGGCCAGTGGCCCGCATAGGACTCATAGGTAAATATAAATAAAAAAATTATTTCAAAAATGTATTTATATTATATTATATTTATACCTATTTATTTTTATTTAAGTATATTGTAAAGTAAAGAATATTTTATACAAAAATATAAAGTAAACATATTATTTATATAGGTAGGTACCTATATTATTATAAAATTAAAAATTATATGTGTTAATAAACTTTTGGCCCTCTAAGAGCATTTGATTTTTTTTGTGGCCCTTGAATAAAAAAGTTTGGAGACCCCTGTTGTAGCCTATAGGTATCTACATCCCGACGATAGCCGATCTGTGTTATACTCTTAGGTATATAGACTGAGCGTGGAACTATACCTAGGTTATATCAGGCAAATAATTTGCTTTTATTTCTGTATTGAAAACACATTTGGGGATAGCAACAAGCACAGCATCCATACGGATTTAAAATTGATTACAAGTCAGATTTTAAATAGGTCATATCTTAAACGTTTTGGTAGTTTTCCAGATAATCTGCTGTTTTTTTTTTAAACTAAACCTTGATCATTTTTTGGGTAGGTTCACACTGAACACCACACAGAATCGTATTTTTATACAATATTTATCATTTTCTCCAAATACAAGGACACACGCTGCAGTGGCCCACTCGAGAGACAGTCGTACTAGAGTTGGATTGATAAAAATTACCAGGTAAATTAAGCGATTATTTTACTCCGAGGGTTATAAGTTATAACTCAAATCGTATAATCTGGTTAAAATACATAGAAACTATCATTAAATTATGTTTTCAGTAAGTAAGTAACTATTAAATATAATATATGTATAAACCTACATAATTTAACCTAAAAAAAAAAATAATAATCTCTCATGAGGAACTCGTTCTGCTATAAATTATATGTTTTGAATAGATTAGGACGAGTATAGGTCTAATTCTCACAGTGACTTATCAATCCGGTGAACACTCCTTTGTGCATGCATTGCTGGGTTAATGGTTTATTAGCAGATAGTTAGCATTAATTGTAGTTGTTCTTACTACAATACTTTCATTTACAAATTGTTATCTATAACTTCTATGGTAAATACTTTAAAAAATTTCTCATCTCAAAACGTTCAATCAAATGTTACACGTCTACTATTTTTAATATATTTTAATTGATTTCGCATGTCAACTGTCCTTCAATGCCTTCAAGGGATTTGTATATCATATAAAAGTGTAACATTAAAATTCAATCATTTTAAATTCTGAGCGGAGCGATGAATGTATTATTTTTTCAATGTTGAGTTTCAAATTTTAAACAAGAGAAATAACGATTTTAGTTATTTAATTTTTTTGTAATTCAAAAAATATTATTCATAAGAATTTGCAATTTTTCACTAACACATTTTTATTATTTTAGTACACAGTACATACAATGAAATTTTCAATTTTAAGATATTTTAGCTATTTATATACCACGAACTATTCACAAATTTCTTTAGTACTTCGGTATTGACTTATGATTTATTTGAAATTAATAATTAAAAAATATTACTATATTAAATATGCTCTATGATTTTGGCAATATGAATATAAAATAAAATATTCTTAGAAATATGGCCACCTCTCATAGTCATTTTTCGTATACAGTAATTTATCATTGAATTAAATTTGGCACATCCAATACAGTGACCTACTTAATAACAATAGGTACACTCGACCCCTACTATACAGAAATACGACTTTCCCGGTTTTTTTTAAAAATACATACACAGATTAATGAAATGTAATTAGAGAATTAATATACGTTGTTTAAACTCTGGTCTCATAGCAGAGAAGTACCTACAAAATTTGATTTGGTATTAAAGTATAAATTAGCAGTTAATGTTGCCTGGATAATATTTCTAATTCGCGCTCATGATAAATAATTAAATCCAATTAATGTTTAATGTTTTATATTATATATTATTAGGACTATTAAGCACGAATGTCCTAAAAATAGTAATCTACTTATGTTACAAATGATAATGCAATAAATGCTTATGTTATAATACCTATACCTAATAATAGTAATTTAAATGCTCATAATATGCAATTGTTTAAAAATTAAAATATTAAAGAAAACATTCATTATCCGATGCGCAACATACGTAAATAAGTAGTGTATTTGATCATCGATGCTTGTGTTATTGGATTAAAATATAAATAAAAGCAAAAATGCGTATATATAAAATCGTAACTATTATAATATAGCATACCTACGACGTTGTGTAATATTGGCAATATTTCTGCAAGAAAATAACGATATTTTTCCTGTTTATTATGTGTATTTAAATTATAAACTATGAACTGGAATGCAGAAAAAAAAAATTATAATAATAAAATCAATTGGCTTACATCCCAATTGGTTTTACAAATATAATGGGATCATGCAAAGTGTCTATACCTCTATAGAAGTGAAAATAATTAAAAACTTTTATTTTATAATTCAATGGAATATTTTTGTTCTGTGACACAATTAATCAGCATGATACTCGTAGGCAGATAATATAATATCAATTACCTAGATTATGTTATTACAATATGCAACATCATATTGTATGTTATTAAACAAAAAACTCAAAATCATGATTTTATAGTTTCATACACGCGTTGAAGCAAAATTATAAATTAAGTAGGTACCTATAGAGTTTTTAAACAAGAGTTTCCACATTTAATGCTTAAATAGCTTAAATCGAGTAGGTACTAAAAAATGCCCTATTAATTATTATAATGTAGTCAAAGTTAAAAAAAAAACAAAAAAAACAAACAAACAATAAATGAAAAATAGAAATATTATTTATATATTTTGAATAGGTCTACCTATACAGTATTATAAGTATACCAATGTTTATAAAACCATATAGTTCGTTCATTTAATGTTCATCGATTAATCAGTTACATTAGTTTAATGTGTTTAAATTAATATTCATAAGATAGTATATACCTACTACTCAATGATCACAATCATACGTACAGTACTATAATATACCATTTACACAGTAATCAATTGCATACGATAAACGATAATAGTGTGGCCTAAAGTAGGTACAAAGAACATAAATAATATAATGTATTATAATGTTGTGAAATATTTTCATATCATAAACCAATAAACTAAAGTCAAATTGAATTATATGAAGAAGCAAAGGTTGTATAAGCCTATATATGCTTGTGTGACTATATGTGTTAAAGCAAGATTTGAACAATAATAAGTAATACAATTTGACGTAATAGCAGTCTCTTGTCCTGTGGGGCTGAAATTTCAGAAATAAAAAAACATCAATAATAATATCATGTACTTAAGTAATATCATTAAATTTTTAAAAAACAATTACGCTGAAACAATTATTTTGTGCGAATAAAATAAGATAGACTAACAACTACGAATAAGCTCAATGTTGATTATTTAGATACCTACGAATATGGATCAGCTGACTTTTGAACTTAACGTGATCTTTTGTTGTTTTTTTTTCATCCGTCATCCTATAAAAGCCCGTGGGCTACTGAATTCAAGCTCAAAATATATTTCTCGCACTCTCTGTTACAATGAAACTTTTGTTCGTTAATCGTTATAAGTATCTACCGTCTGCAAAAGAGCTAATCGTACATACACATATTTTATATAATTATATTATTATTATTATAATAATTACCGAAACCACGGTTATTCATAAATTACACGCTCGTATATGATTTATTTCATTATATATATATTATTAATAATATAATTTATTATTATTACTATAGTTTACAGGAGAAATCCGTTTGTTCTTCATAGTACTTACGACATCGAGATGTGCTCCGGGAAGTACGATCGATCGATATATTCGAAGCTTATCCTTGACCGAGGTGAGTATGTGATTGCTCCGACCTATAGTCTGACGGAATACCTAATAAGTTTCAGTGTTTCACTGCTCTCAATTTTACGTTCCTGTCGCGACCGTTGACGAAATACCTGTGGAAAGTGAAGAGGATTATATAGATCAGCTCGCCGGACAGGATAGTACTACTAAAGGACAGTACGTGTACAAGGATAATACAGGTCACTCCGCAGTGTTGGGTAGTAAAGCTTAACGCAAATTACAAATTAGTGTAACGAAATATTACTTTTGCAGTAACACTGTGGTAGTTTCATTATATTTTATTTAAATTAACGCAATTGTAACGAAATTAATTTTTAAAAGTAATTTCTATGGAGAAATGTGTTACTTTCAACTTTATTAAAATAAGTTAATATGAATGTAGAAAGTAAGACAACAACTAGGGGCTAGGATATTTGAGAAAAATTAAAAATCAGTACTTAACATTTATCTACGATTCCAAAAGTTTTTACAATAAATAATAATCAAAAATATTATTAAAGATCCCAGAAATTAATACTTATACATTTTCATCATGTGAAACAGTAAGTCATTAACGAGCAAATTCTACAGTGGAAAATGTTTTGCAGTACGAACACCAACGTTTGATATGTTGAAAAGGTTAAAATTCATAAGCGCTTGGTGGCTGGTGCGGTATGTAAATTAACCGTGGTATAATAGTCATAAATAAATAAATATACCATTGGTACTCTGTGATATTTGACCTCGACAACCACGATTTAATATAGTACTATGATAAGTATGGGAATTGATATAATAAACATTTTGGGTAAATTGCATGTATCTACAGTTATTCGTTTATGAATTACAACAAAATGAGAAAATCTCTAAGCGATAAATCGAGTGAATATCAAATGTTGTAAAAAAATGAACTTCAAATGTTGATAAAAATGTAATTTGACTTTTTGTAAACATTTTTTTTTTTGATAAATGTAGACAAACTTAATATGAGGAATCTTATATTACATTTTAAAATCTTAGATTTAAAAAAAATTTTTTTATGAATTTCTGATGATACTTCTAACTATTTTTAAATGGCAACCTACTACATGTTGGAATCGGTCAATACTATTTTGATTCATTCCAATTAATAATTTTCAATTTTTAAATAATATGTTTCAATTTATCTATATTTTTTAAGGAATTGTGCAATAGCATCTATAAACGAATTATTACCTACTACACTACGATTCTATGCAACAGGAGTTTTCTTATTACTGCTGGTTACTTTCTTGGTGTTAGTAAATCTTCGCTTGTATAATTATCCGTACTGTTAACACAGCTATTGCAGGATTATGTCATCAATTTATTCGTATGCCAATTACAGATGAACAAGTGCACATATTACAGAGATTTTTCTAGAAAATCGCTAGATTATCCCATGCAGGTTATTGATTTTAAACTTCATATAAAAATAATTTAAACTGTAATGATATACATAGGTCGAAGTCAGGTGTCTTAATCACCAATAAGATTTCTGCACTAACACTTCTCCAATTTTTTTTTTTTTTTTTTTAATGCCATAAGGTTTTATTATTTAAATAACCTAAATTTGAACAATTGTATGTAATTTTTACTTACCTACTAGGTATTAAAAATATGTTTACCTCCTAATTATGAAAATAATGTACATGATTAATTAATATAAAATTATATAGTATATATATTAGTTAATATAAAAATAAACATTATGAGAAATATCGCCTATGATGTTGCATAAACAAATTTACTGTTTAAAATACTCTCCAATTATATTTCTTGGCCTATATGCTTGAAGCTAACTCCATAACTACAAATTATTGTTTTTAAGTTTACACTCATAATATTATTCTTTTGTTTAGTCAGACGTTTAAACCATAATAGTTCAACAGCCGTTTTCAGTTGGGTAACGACTTTGTGTTATCTATTTTACAATAGGAGAAACAACTATTAATAATATTTGAATTGTGGACACCTCGCTGTAACTCGATCGTTTAAAATAAAGATAAAAAAAATAATCAAGGAAATAATAAAAAATACAGACAAATATAATTAAAACATTACTCACTGGTAGCTTAAGTATACGCTTATATATACGTGTATATGTGTTAACTCACGATTTGAACAATAATAAGTATCTAATACAATATGATGTAATAGCGGTCTTATGTCTTGCAGGGCTGAAATATCAGGAATAAAAAAAATCAATAATATCGTGTACCTACATAGAGTAAAATTAAGTGTTTTGTCATTAAGTGTTTAAAAAACAATTATTTTGTACGAATAAAATATTTAAAACCAACAACGACGAATACGCCCAACGTCGATTATTTAGATACGCATATGGACCAGTTGACATTGAACTACGTGATCTGGAGCGCTCTTGTTGTTTTTTTCATCCGTCCTCCTATAAAAGCCCTGGGGCAACTGAATTCATGCTCAAATTAGATTTATCGCACTCTCTGTTACCATGAAATCTCTGTTCGTAAGTAAAAGAGCTAATCGTACACACGCATATTTTATATTATTGTTATTATAATAAAATTACCGAAACCGAAATTATTCATAAATTTGACGTAAATTATTATGAATTATTTCATTGGATATTAATAATAATATAATATATTATTACTATATTATCGTTTACAGGCGAAATCTGTTGTATTCTTCTTAGTACTTACGACATCGAGATGTGCTCCGGGACGGTTGGGTACCATCGATCGATATAATCCAAGCTTCTCCTTGGCGGACGATGATGATGAGGTGTATACGACCGAGTCGGATGGTACAACGGAAGATAATACTTGGGAGTACTATGAAGACGACGTTACTGACTCGACCACGAACGAAATACCTTTGGAAACTCCAGCGCCTCATATCGACCAGCTCGCCGGACAGGATGATACTACCAAAGGACAGACAGGCTGTTCCGATTCCGTCGTAGACGTTGAGGGTCCATCGACATCGCTTGCGGCGTTCACAGATGGCGAATGAAAACTCGGAGCATTGTTGTTGTTGTTGTTGTTGAGTTTTTTTTTTTTTGTTATTTTTTCGATTGTAACATAGAATATTTTTTGTTTTGGAGAATATTACCTGTTAAAAATTAAAATCGACGTCGAAAACCGATTCAAAAATGTTCGCTTGGAAAACGTCTGTAATAGGTAATTAGTGATGATTTCGATGGATAAATATCCGGAAACCATATTCTATGCGTGATAAGTATTGTATATGTTGTAACTTTCAGGAACGAAAGAAATAATTAAATTGTATTATATATTTTATAGAATTGTTTTATTAATTTTTTTGTTTAACGTGGACTAGTCTTTAATAATATTATATAAAAACAAAACCGATTGAAGAACAATATGTTACATTTAGTATTTTGCTTAGGGCTTAGCTAAAGGTGCGCATCAGTTTTGACTGAACGTGTAGCTGAAACCGTCTGGAGATCTGTTCAAGTTGAATTTGCCGGAAGCGTGGTTGACGTTGTATGACGTGGGCGGTGGGGTCGGGGCAGAGTTCCATTGGTTCCATTTGGCAGTGGTTGGGATGGAGTTCCATTGGTTCCATTGACTGTGTTTTGGCGCCGCAGTCGATGGAGCGGAGTTCCATTGGTTCCATTGGCCGTCGTTAGATGATTCTGAACTCCATTGGTTCCATTGGCCGTCATCAGACTTTGCTGCTTCAGCGTCTGAGCTCCATTGGTTCCATTGGCCATCATCAGACTTCGATGCGGCTTCTGAGCTCCATTGGTTCCACTGTCCGTCGTCGTACTTGGGTGTTGTTTCTGCGTTCCATTGGTTCCATTGGTTTGGGACCGCTGGTGCTTGGTTCCATTGGTTTGGGACTGCTGGTGCTTGAGACCTAAAATCAAATCAAAATAAGTTTAAAAATAGAAACTCGCGTTTCGGCTTAAAGTTCACCACAGGTAGAGGACAGCATATTATAATAATATATAGGCAGTGTAATGAAAAACGCACGTTATATAGGGTATTGTCATTGTTTGTAGGATACAGCCTACGAGAACCAACGGTTTAAACTTTTAAACTGTCATAATAATTGTGACAAACAATTAAAAATCCATTTTCAACCAAATAATAAAATTGAAATTATTTGTTAAGCAGCATATAAATATTATAATGTATGTCAAGACCATCGTTTGCTGTTGGAAGTAATAACAAACAGTACCCATTAAAAAACATATATGTCGCGTCCACCCACCATTATATATAATATTATATTGTTTTATATCCGGCTGCAGATGTAAAAAATATATATGGTTGACGACTATAATATTATATATAGGTAGGTAGTAGAACTCGCATTGAAATTATATATTTTATATAATTATGAACGGAAAGTACAGATAAATGTGAACTCGTATAATATCGAGTATATCGGATAAATTTTTTTTTAAATAAAACACTTATCCTCCCCCCACCGAGAGTCACGGATATTATTGTACCGCCTATGTACACAAGTGAGCGAACGATGGTAGCGATCTCGCGCTCTAACCTCATCTGTATTATACTTTTTGGAACCATGCCGCGATTACCTACCTAACGACCGCGGACGTCAACCAGTGCTGAAGTATAGATCGTGAGCAGCAACAAACAGAAACTATTATGGAACCAAGCACTTCTGTACTCCATAAGTCATAAAACTGTCACGACTAAGAAATTGCGCGTCGTCAGTAGAGGTATAGACGACGCTCGTAATTGACCTTCACTACAATCGGCGCATGGTATAAAAATGTTTAAAAAAAATTGGAAGTGTGCATCGCGGTCTCTCACTCTGCAGAGTAACCTAACCTAGCCCTCTATTTAATATCTCGAGTCCGAAAAGTCAAATGTTTGCAACCGGTCTACTACGACCCTCGTCGGGGTAAGGGGTAGCTGGTTTACTCACCATTGGTCTTGTTGCCATGAACCCGACTTCGGTGCGGGTGCAGCGGGTGCCGCGACTGGAGACGGGGCTACTGGCAAGTGATCGCCGGTGGCCTTGAAACCGTCCTTGCCGGCGGTGTAGCTGACTGTGCGCCTTTGGCCATTGGGGTCCAAGTAACTGTAAGAGCCTCGTCTGTTACCATCAGCATCCGACTCTTCCTTGAACTCCACACCGTCGCCCTGCGTGTAAGCGGCACCGAACTGACCGTTGTTGGACAGGTACCGGGCGTCGGTCAGTATGGCGGCGTTCTGCTGGGCGGGGGCTGCCAACGCCACCGACGTCAACGCCAAAGAGACAAATACCTGAAATCGACATGGGTATCCGGTGTAAGAACGATTGTCACAAAGTCACGGGGTTGCGACCCCAACTTTCGAGCATATATTTTAAAAGAATTATATCGATTTCCAGGTCTTTAAAATAATATAGTAATATATCTATACGACGAAAGCCATATAAGACCCAATTCGAAACTTTAAAAATACACACCGTAGTGAAATCATAAAATATTTCTCGATTTGAGTGTATCGTACCAAAGAAAACGGCTTAGCACTATCAGTGTATCGTATTGAAACTTTAAAAGGTATATTTTAAAACAATTTTTTTATTAATATCAACTAGATTTTGTTATATATTATTAATATTTAATATTATACGCTATGTGCTTAAAGTATCTCGAGAATAGTTTGTATTCATAATATAGGTACTAGTGAACAAGACTTGCATGGCACGAATTGATTTAGAGTTCAAGTTAAAATGCTATCAGTAGCTTTCAAAGTGTTTTTGTTTAAAAATGTAACTTAGAATATTTTTATAATAAATTCTCACTATAAAATATAACTTAATAGTTTTATCGATCGTACGAAGTCTCTATCCAAATGTATTATATTCAGACACCGCGGAGTTTATAATGTAGGTATAATAGTATATAATATAATTTTATTATAGTGTTATAAAATGTACTTACGACAAATCGGCTCATGATTTCTTCAATATTGTCTTGTGCTACGGCAACTAGTAAACGAGAACTGTACTATCTGGTGTCTCTGGATAGCGTATTTATAAAAGATCGTCGCCCGAGTGCTGATTGCCTTGCATTGCGAGCAAGGTTAACGGATACGCCCTAAGGAACCGAAGATAATGGAGGGAAACATTATCGATGTAAAATTAAATAATAATAATCATAAAAAAAAATCCGATCGTTCCATTTACGTAGCGTTTGACTTCCTGGGCGAAATAATGCTTAACCAGACCAAAACGAGATCAATCCAAACGGGTAAATATAATATGCGATGGTGATTGTTAATATGAATTTTTTGAAGGGCAACGAATGCCTGAAGTGTACGAAAAAATTCCTCGAGACGTGTTTATTTTATTTTTCATTATTTCATGGGCGTGCCCCAAAGAGTGCATCGGCTGAGTCGCCACTGTGTGCGTGGGAAGTTAGCGAGTGTATTATTGTTTAGTAAAATTACATTTCTAAATGTATTTGTAACTTATGATTATTATGATTATTTATTATTATTTATATTGCATAATTTATTCTATAAATACGCGTCCTAAGTCTGGCGCCAATTGTATGAGTACTATAATGTACGTAGCCAATGATATTATTATCTAAAAAAAAGAACAAAAAAAAAAACACAAAAATGTGAGTTGACTAAAATTTAAGTACCTAAACACACGTACCTTAATTTCTATACAAATATCAAAAAATAAATAAAAATAATGTGTACCTATATAGACAATTTCCGATTAACCAATGACAGTGAAAGTTCATATAATGTTATAAGTAAATATTGGGAATACCTATGTATTTATACTATAGGTTTTAAAATTTCAATTTTATTATTGTATATTTGTATAATTTACAATAATACGTGCAGTGCTGCAGCAATTCAACTTTGTATTCATAAATTATATACGCTTAATTGTTAAAATTTCTACTCTAGTAATTGAAGATAAGTACCTATAATACCACCTATACTTATCACGGTATCACAGATGCTTACGATTATTTTTAGATACACATAATTGCGATGTCTTAAAGCTTTTAATCTATTTTAATATCATGTTGGTCTTAATTATATATGATTGGTAAACGATATACAATGATCAAATAACATATACTTATTTCATCATCTCTTGGAGTTGTCAACCCAAGTATTAAAATATATCATGCTTATGGAAACTTGAAAATATTTCATTTTACTATTTTAGTGATGTCTATTTGCCGATTGTTATTATTGACAATTTGTGTTTATTTGATTTTTAATTCAGATTTTTCAGATTTTGTGTTTATCGTTTACAGTTATTAATAATCAATGTTTTTTTTTTTTTTAAATATTTATTAGAATATAAACAATCTATACAAGTAAGTACAATAAGCTTATGTGCTAAGAGAAAACATGGCATGAAAAATTGAGTAAGAAGCCGCCCACTGACGACACTTAGCAAAATAATCAATGTAATCTCGAATATAATAACCAATTGTGTATGAATATTAGGAGGATAGTAATAATATTATGTGTTTCGATAATTTTCTTCTTAAAATTGTATTTTTTATTTAATAAACGTCAAACTCCTTTTGAGTAAAATATATGAATAACATCTTAAACTAAACAAATTAAGCAAATTATAAATAGTTAACAAACGAATAGTAAAATCTGTAGTACATGGTCTATAAAAAGAGAATTTAGGGTCCAAGTTTGCTATCTGCATACAAGACGGAGTGGTTGATTGATAGCATAGTTAGAATGATACCTTGGAATATAGAATGGGACAGAACAAATTATAAAATATTTAAAACAAAAATTCCTAAATATTTAAAAATGATTGACAACCGAACATGTTAATTTTTATTCCTAAAAATAAAATTTAATATTGTCTATATAATAATATTTTGTTACATTTATTTTGCTTAAAATCGACTTATGCCTTATATGCGATTTTACATTTTATGAAAATATAAATATAATGTATGAGGATACCTATATTATATTTTATGATTATTATCCAACGATAATCCACCAAAATATATTCTTATGCATTTTTACATTAATTAATTTCAAATTTAATTTGCGAGACTTGGTGACTCAAAAGTCAAAACCCATAGCATTAAATAATGAAAAAGTGTACTGATGTTAGTGACGACGGTGTACAATGAAGACGTAAGGATACAAATATTATATTATGTACAATTTAGATTTTATTTTTAAGTAATAATTTTTATCATTATTATCAGTGGCGGATTTAGCGTCAGGCAAAGTAGGCAGTTGCCTAGGGCGGCAAATTTTTAGGGGCGGCAATTTTAGGTCAATATTTTATTGAGAATACTCTAAGTTTATTTTTGATTTTCTAATGTACGGTGATTACTCTGAAGGATGGAAAAAAAATGTTTAATATTTAAGTATAATAATATTCTTGTTAATATAATTTCTTCTTTATTTTATAATACATAACAATAAACGTCCAAGTAAATTATCTAACGACTGCCGGAACGTAGATCTATTATATAAATACTAAACATGGATAACATATTTCGTTAATTTGTTTTTTTGCTAAGTTGTAATAATTACCAATAAGTTGGTTTGATCGCACGGCGTACACACACTACACGCACAATACATACAGATATGATATATTTAATACGAATAAGGATTAAGGGTGACGATCGATTCGTATTGGAACGATAGTCTAATTATAAACCAGTAACTGTGAATATTTTTATATAATATACTCGTACGTACTATGCATTATGTGTACAAAAATAAAACTTTTTCTATCCAAAAGATAAAATTATGTAATAATTGTTTATTTTTCTTCGGAACTATGAAATAGAGGGCGGCCGAGTAAAAAATAGGTTTATTCTGATTAGACATTCGATTATTTTCAACACAACATTCAAGGCGGATAAACTTCATATTTGGTTATTAGTATACTACTTAAATTACTGGTAAATAAACACTATATTTTATAAACACATTTTATTAGAACAGTTTATTAACATAACTGCCATTAATTATTGTTTAGTTGAGTTCATCAGTCTTTATGATTTATTTTTTTAGTACTTATGTTAAATGAGTATTTAAAAATTCGTTTTCTCGTTGATAAGTTTAATGGGGCGGCAAAAAAAATTGCCTAGGGGCGGCAATTGTGTAAATCCGTCTCTGATTATTATATTAGAATGTCTGATGTCAAAAAATATGTTTGCATTTTAAAATATGTATCAGTGTAGTATATGATCGAACCTTGATAATATAATTAGGCGAGAATAAATTACAGAGCGTTCAATTATATGGGTACTGGGTAGGTATAAGTATTTTATTATAGTAGTAATACTAATGAATAATACTGAATAATGATACATAATAATATAATACCTACATGTTGTGCGAAACGTAATAATATTTTACATATTTAAAATATTACTTTCTTAAAAATATATTGATGACATGTAAAAAATATGTTTTGTAAAATATTAGTTTTGGCGATTGTGGTTTAATACATACCTATACGTTTTAATATTTTATAATAGAATACGTTAATATTAAAAAAAAAAATAAAGCTGTGAAATGTTCAAATAATTTTTGATCATTACATAAAACAATCTGAACTACATGTTGCTATATCATATTATTATGTACGTTGGTATAAATAATTATCGTTGAATGAGTACAATGCCACGCAAAATAATATTCACAAACGCGTTGGCGTTGTGTACGATTTGTCAACACATTTAAACCACTTAATGTCTATTATATATAGGTATCTCTTACACACAAACGTGTGGTGACAATATTCACGTTCCTATACGATTTATGAGAAACAGCCATATCATATTATAATTATGCACGTTTTACATTCTGAGCTATTGGATTTACAACATTTACGATGTTTCATGTATAGGTATAACATTGTCTAGAAAAACACTTTTTATGGTAGCTAATAGTATTAAAGTGCCACACGAGTATATGTTCAATATTTGTATTTATAGGTATGTATAGTACAAATATGTATATAAAAAGGGTACTTTGCACTTGTATACAGACACTGCCGGAAGAATAAACAATTCAAATAATTCGGAAAATTGAAGAACAAAAACAGCCCCACCCAGCTGAATATTCAATATTGTTATTCGAGTGCGATAATAATGTCTCATATTATTTTATGGTAAGTATTATAATATTTACTGTAATAATAACACGACATATCTACACAACACTTCACCTGAGTAGTTTGGAGTGGAGTGAATTATACATGTCTACCCGTCCTTATAGTATGACGTGTGTCCGTATATTCTTAGAATTTATTCGTCACTCACGAAGACTTGAATTGTTTTTTTATTTTTTGTACAGAGATGGACGTATGCTTTGCAGTACACGCAACACTGGTCATTATAATATAGTATAATATAGTGATGGGTTTTAAATAATCCCAAAATTATATTTCAATCTATTATTTATAGTATAGCACAGTAGGTACGATACAGTTTTAAGTGTTTCGATTGTCAACATAGTTAATAATTTATGTGTATTTGGAATAGTAGAGTAGGTATGGTAGGTATATACCTATAGCTATTTTTTTCGAGTGTTTTTTTAAATGTTATTGGCTTGGTGTAATTGGTTAGCCTTAAGCATATACTTTTATGTAACATTTTTTAATAATATAATTTATTATTAAACACTGGAGTCAGATGCAATTTATTTGTTGCACTAAAAGAAACCTAAAATCAATTCGACTAGTATTTTATGAACACCATTAGGTATATACGAATGACGACAGTAACAATTATATTAAGATCGTTTATTGCCATTATTATACTTACTGACGATAAAATAGTTTTATTGACCGTGAATAGACCAGAAGCTGTAATAACGGTTTGAGAATTCTGTACTTGAGACATGAAGAAAGTAACCTGCACAGTGTACAATACATTCATTAAAATACATAAACCTATACCTATATACGACTATATGTATT